CCTCCCCCCCCCCCCCCCCATGTCGCTTCGTCCTCTCTCGCCCCGCACACTGAAGGCATCATCCCCACAAAACCACAACAATAAACGAGCCAAAACAACCCCCCTCTGCCCTCGCCCCCTTTTTTCACCTCCCCCGTCCGTCCGCCCCATCCAAGGCAGGGCAAAAGGAACGCGGCACACACACACACACACAAAAAAAAAAAAAAAAGGAAGGATGAAGATGATAGGGGAAAAAAACATTGTCCACATTTCATTACATCCCTCAACTAATATTGCCTTCCGGAATGGGGGGAGGGGAGGAAAACAAAAAGAAAAAAAAAAGCATTTAAACGCGCCCAGCTCGGTAAACTAAGGGAGAAAAGAGGTCCATTCGGTGGAAATTACAAGGCTGATACATCCTCCACATCGTGTATTTTCTGCAGTGGCATCCTCCTTGTAAATGATGCGCACCTCCTTATACATGCACACACGGATGCCCGCTCATATACGCAGTCTGTGGGTGTTTTACGCCTTCCCCCCACACACCCACCCACCCCCACACATCCCAAAAAAAAAAATACAAAAAAAAGAGGTCTTTTTTTTTAAAAAAAAAACTTAATTATAATAATAATGATAATAACATTTCAGTCCAGAAAAAAAAAAAAAAAAGAAACCAACAACTGCTTACACAAACCTAACCTACGTATTACTTGTGCGAACGACCAGAAAGAAGAAGAAAAAAAAAAAAAACAGAGAAAGGAAGGCAAACCGAGCTAGGCTGCGGTGGCAGTAATCACCATCATCATCATCGATCCTCAGTGAAAAGTTGCTTAATGAGTTCGGTGTAATGTTTCTCAATGTTACCACGACGCAGCTTCGAGGTGGGTGTCATAAGACCGTTTTCTGGTGTCCATTCGTCGGTTAGTACGCGAACGTACCTCACCGATTCAAATGACTTGCGTCCAGCCTTCTTCGCTGTGGCGGCCAACGACTCCGCTGCCTTTTCGTGGAAAGTCTCGTTATTAAGCAGATCCTCCAATGAACCCTGCAGACCGTGTTTTTTAGCAAAATTGGCCGCCCTTACAGCATCTGTCAGCACCAGCGCGCAAATGTACGAACGAGCAGGATGGACAAGCACACACACACCATTAGGCACGCAAAGTGCGTTGTCTACATACATGGACTCCAGTGCCTCCAATGCAATGTACTCTCCCAGCACATTCTTCGCCAGTGCCTTCACACGGCCAATAATACGCAGGGAACCGTTCGCCGTAATGCTGCCAACATCACCCGTGTGAAACCAGCCATCCTCGTCAAGAGCCTCCCGCGTGAGTTTTTCCTGCTTGTAGTAGCCCTTGAAGAGGAACGGGCCCCGCAGAAGAATCTCCCCCCGCGGCTCGGGAGTGTCCGTGTGCTTGTACTCATCCACGTCCAGCAGCTTCATTTCTGCTGTCACAACTAGCTGACCAACGTCGTTTGTTGCTATGTATTCCAGGCGCTGCGTCGCACCGCAACACACCGTTTCTGTGAGACCCCAGCCCTGAATCACTATCGGACCGCCAAAACAAACGTCAATAAATTCCTGCGTTTCAGCACTAAGAGGGCCACCGCCGGAAAGCATTGCGTATGTTTTCCCCCCAAGCAACTTGAGCGCATCGTTAAATACCTTTTGGTTCCAGAAAGGCGTGTCATATTCCCTCATGATGGCGCTCAGACGTGAGGTGAATGCCTTGTCAAAGATCATTCGTCTTAAACTATTCGGAGGTGGAATCTTCCTCTCTACACCCTTCTTGATCGTGTCAAAGATGCGCGGCACGCCAATGATAATTTTTGGGGAAAACTCCTTGAAATCACCGTGCGGAATGGCAAATTCGTCTGTAAGGGTCCGGGGATTACAAAAACCAACCAGACTGCCTCTTTTCAAAAAGATGTTAACAATGCCAAACTCGAGAATATGTGCAAGTGGCAAGAAGGCACAGTACGTTTCCGTTTCTGCTGTCGAATTGTAAAGATCGCTTAGTCGCTCTTCAAGAGCATTAATACCCGCGGCAATCGAACCGTGGGTGTGAATGACGCCCTTTGGATCACCGGACGTGCCACTTGTGTACATAATCATCGCCTCAATGTCGTTGTCGGTGGGAATGTTTATGGCATGTTTTGCCTCCGCGCCCTTTTTCACAACATCCGTCCACGCAACGATTTGATAGTCACCCTTGTCGACATCAACGGGAACGCTATCGAGGCAAACAATGATGGGATGGAGCCCTCGTTCACGGAGCGGCGTAAGAAGCATCTTCAGTGTCCGGCCACTGCAAATGATAACCGCTGAATCGGTCTCCGAGAGGGCGTATCTCAAGGCATCTTCACCGAGGTTCGCATAGACCGTCGTGGCGACCATGTTAAGCGTCCAGATACCGTAAATAGACACAAGCCATTC